GAGGCAGCTCGACTCCCATCTTCGTCGCCCGGTGCCCGGTAGCTTCGCACTCCTTAGCAGATCGGTGCAGCCCGCCGCTGAACCTCGAAACGAAACTGCGCTGACGATTCGACGATCTCCGAAAACGGCTCAGAAGCAGCAACCAAAAGCAACACCATACATTGCCAACGGAACAACACATCCAGCAAAGCCCCCTGAACGACCATGCTTCAACAACTACAGTTACGAAGCCTTTTGACGGCTGGTTGCGCAGAGCCACCTAGCAAAGTTTGAGTCTCCTGGGAGACGGAGGCACATGACACTGCTGCATACTGTCTCCTGTAGCCGGCATTGTCCGCGGCCAGCAGAAGCCGTTTCTGTAATGCTAGTATCATTCCTTCCTGTCGCATCGTGTATTTCTGATCGCATTTCCATCGTTTCTTTCCGTCTCACAGATTGTGCGAGTTGTGAGCGCCGAAAAGCCTGTTAGTACTATTGTAATACCTGTGACGGAACCCCCACCGCTTGAGGAACCAGTATGGCGTCTGATCGTAGCCTTTAAGGAGCACCTATCTTGAGGTCTCTGAAAGCACCTTGACAAAGAAACACCACTCAAGCTCTCGAGGTTTGACGTCGCCAGCCTCGACACAGCGAGACGAGGTGGACATTGCATTCATGTTGACCGGTGTATGTATGTTTACAATTGTGTATCTGTACATACATATAGACACATGTGTACATATATATATATATGTAAACTTGTTTGCATATATATATATATATATATATTTATGTGTGTGTATACATATGTGCACATATACATATATAAATATACACATGTGCATATATATATATACACATACATACATCTTCATATGCATACATATACAGATATACATGCACATGTACATATATACATATGTATACATAGATATATCAGAACATATTTGCAGATAGACATACATACATGCATGCAAACATAAATACACGCATACATGCATACATGCATGCATGTGTGCGTGCATGCATGCATTTATGCATACATGGTCTTCGTCTTGCAATGGGATCAGCAAGTTGGAGCAATAATACCGTACGCTGGTACATGCTTCGGTATGTCAGAGCTGAACATTCATGTATACACTTCTGGGGAACTGTATAGCTATCTGTGTATCTTTCTTATGCTTGAAGTACCTACAATTGCACGTACGCACAACCGTGCATACATACATACTTGTACACACGTGCACACATACCTATCTACATGTCTACAAACATACGTACATACATACATACATACATACATACAGGCATACTTACATGCATACCTACACACACATACATGCAGGCATGCATGCATACATACATGTGAATTTGCATGTTTCAGCTGCACTGGGTGGTGCAGAACTGCAGTCCACCAATTAAAGTTGTTGGCTTGTGGTTAAAGTCTGAATCGATGCAGTCTAGGCTCATGTCATATGAGTGGTTGTCAAAATTATGGTCCCTTTTGGGGTACCCTAAATAGCAGGTGCCGTATTATAACAAGGACACAAAAAGGGACCCTTATTTTGACAACCACCCATATGTTTTTCTGGAGGTCACAGCGGCATGGCATCAGCTTCTTTGTTCATCTACTGCAGCCTCGTGGCAGGCCGTGAACAATCGGCAGCTGACCTTTGCCGGAGTCTGAGTGACTCAGACCCCGAAACTACATCTTGCAGCATAGGCCTCTTTGGCAAGCATGCTGGCCTGAATAATCGCAATTTCATGAGCAGAGTTGTACGTGCTATACGGTTGTTGATATACATGTTGATTGCTTCTAACAGCCCTATCCTAAGACCTCAGAATCTCCCAACGCATCGACTCCAATACCCCTTCAGTCAGGATACCTATGGTTCCCTAAACCTTAAACCCTAAGAAAAGGGCCTTCATAATTTTACCTACATTATTTTGGGGGTTCCGTATTATACGTATAGTATAATATGCCCCCAAACCCTCTTCTGATGACTAAGGCCCCTACATCACGCCCTAAACCGAAAGTTGCACAGGAGATCGGAGCCTCAGGGCTCAACCATGCAACCCCAAACCCCTAAGCTACAACTTCAAGTCAAAAGCGCGAAGCTCTCTGAACCCTCTGAATCACCTAAACCGTACTTGGAGGTTCATGGGTAGTTATAAGTCGGGTTATAAGTAGAGGGTAACTAAATAACCCTACTTATAACTACACATGAACCTCCAAGTAAGCTCAAAAAACCCTGGACCCTGACGTGCTGCAGGGTATGCGAGGCAGTCTTCACCTTCTCTATCGGGATTTCGGACGCTTTTTCACCGACGGAAGAAGGTGTAATTGAAGCAACCAGAAGCTTTTATAAGCCCTCTGAATCTCGGAAAAAACCGCAAGACCTGAACCCTAAACCCTAAAAATCCTAGATCCGTAAACCCCCAACCCCTAAAGCCCCTAAATCCCTAAACCCTAAACCCTAAAACCCCTAAACCCCTAAAACCCCTAAAACCCCCAAATCCCAAAACCCCTAAACCCTAAAACCCCTAAACCCCTCAAACCCCTAAATCCCTAAACCCTAAACCC